TTTGGCATTTACGGAAAAATCTTTTGCCACTGAGGCACTGAAGTGGAAGACAGAGGAGCTCTCGTGGCTGCTCCACGGGCTGTGCAACTTTGGGTTGCTTTGTCTGGGATTCAGGGCTCAGCTGACTGCTCAAGGCTCATGCTCACATTGGCAATCACAGCACAAGGGGGCTTGCAAATAACTTCAGCAACCAAAGTACTAAGCAACAATAAAGACAGAAAAAAAAAATCCTTTTTCTGAAAGTACCTTGTGATGACTGGGATTACCAAAGCAAGGAGACACACAGCTAGGGTGATAAAGGAAGGCACCACTGGGAATGAATAACTTAGAGGGAAAGTCTGTAAATGACATTCCCTGTCCTACTGCCCCTCCCCTGTTGAATACCTGAGTGTCTTGCTGTGGACATGAGCACTCTTAGAGCTCAAAGGGATCAGGTCAACAGGGCCCTTCAGCTCAAACCACATTTCCTGTGCCTGGAGCACAGTGAGTGTAACCACAGTTATAATGCAGCCAGTTGAGGAGGGCTGCATTTCTAGCAGCATAGCAGCAATCAGAGGAGGACAGGCTATGGCCAACACCCGGAGCTGGCACAACTGCTGGCAGAGGACACAGCAGCACAGCCAGAGGCTCGGTGAGCCCAGCACACACACACAGGTAGGGCCCAGAGCCAGCAGAGCTGAGCCATGCTCCTGCAGCTCCTGGCTGCAGTCCAGACTCATCAAATACCAACATCCAAAGCTCCACAGTGCTCCTGAGCAAATTCCCAGGAATTAGGAAGCTGGTGTGAAGCACACCAGGGCATTCAGCCCAGCTCTACACTCAAACTGATAAGGAAGAGAGCAGACCTTCATACCGTACATCCCAATATGATGGGCAAGAGAAGTGGCAGTTCACAGAGGGTGACAGAGGAGATTTTCCAAAAAAAAAAATTTACTTGTTTTTTAGTTATCATGGATGCTACAATTTATACCAGATGCTGGTTATACCAGCTGGGGATCTCCTGAACTCTGGGGTGAGATGCTTGCCATTACTTCAGGCTTTGGCATAATGCAGGTCAGACTGTAGACCTTTTATGTTCTATTTAAGCTCTTATTAAAGTTTTATTTTCCAGTGACAGGTTTACAGACATTGAGACAGTTTTATTACAGCAAATAAACAATAAACTAAATATTTAGAGCTCATATGGCCATCGTCCTTCCTTCCTGCTGATCCCACACATTAATAATAATACATTTATCTACACATTGCAGATTTTTTTCTAAATAAGTGACAGTGTTCACAGTACAGAACCAGTCAGAAAACCTACTGCACCAGCCCCCTTTTCCAGTTTTGATGTTCCTAGTTACCTTTAGTTTCTGTCTTGGCTCTTTTCTATATTAAATGTGAGTCACTGACACTTCTGTGGTCTTCAGAGTAAAAACCTCCTGAGACGACAGAGAAGAGAGAGAATCACTTTAAATACTTCAGCTTAGAGAAATCTGTGCAACCAGGTATCAACAGTGATACTGAGAGCACCAACAATGCAGCCCCAATACCCTGAACTCCAGAGCACGTCAGAGCTGCAAACATCAGCTGCACAGACGTCAGCCTGGAGACTTTTCATTACATTCTCCTGACATTGCACCATGAGTCATCACTCTAATATATGGCAGAAAAAGGTCATATATTACAGCTGCCTTCCTTGACATATTTCAAATGGGTTCATGATTAAACAAGAAGACTAGTCTAAAAGTTTCCAGGTGCACTTTCCTATTTTCTTAGATAATGGTCTATTTCCAGCACGAGCATGACAGTCTGGAAAAGGCATGGAATTACGTAACCACGTTTGGTTACAAACTCAGCAGCTCCTTCCACAAGCAGCTCCCGGCCCCACAGGGACACCACAGGGACACAATAGCCCCAACAGGGCCACCACAGCCCCACAGGGGGACACCACAGCCCCACAGGTCCAGCACCCACCTCACAGACCTCTGACACCTCTCCCAAGAGCCCCAGGGAGGCTCTTCACCATTCCCAGAAGCATAAATAGGTTTGCTCAAACACAGCCATGCACATAGGTAGGTATCACAACAAGCTAATGTTTAGACAGGCTGAACTATTCACTTAAGAAAAGCTGGAAGTGACTTAAAAATCTGTCACCTCAACCCTCTGAAGCAGTTTTTTTTTTTCAGCCACTTCAAGCCCAGTGACTCAAGGATGCCTTGAGAACATCAGGAGGAGGAATGTACCTTGCTGTAAAGTAATTTGCCACAGGTTTTCTCCCACCTTTAGTCATGAAGGACCTGGCAAGCCTCAGTGAAATGTCTCCTCTGCAGCTGAAAGGCTCAGCCCAGGGAGGAGCTCACTGCAAACACACTCCACTCTCACAGGAAGATGCTCAGACTGTCCTGATCTAGCAAGTTGAAAACCCTTGGGACAGCTGGTCAAATACAGCTCGAAGGACATGTAAACAGGATATTCTAATTTTGCCTCCTCTACCTTTGGGAAAGAGCAGCACTAAATGCTGTAGATGTGGGCTCATTTCCTGCCTGGGAATTCAGCTGGGGGGGAGAAGTAAAAGTTAGAAAATCAACACACTGCCCATGTGTTCATGCTCTCCAAGGCTGAGCAGAGGTGGGCAGGGGATTGTTCCAGGCTCCTCTCTGCAATGATTCCTGCAAGAGGGCAGCTCTGAGCCTCCCAGCACGATCTCCAGTCTCACCTTCAGGGACTGGCTCCCCCAGCAGCACCCAGACCTGCAGGAGTGGACAGGTCTGACTGACACTGAACTTTGCACTGACACAGGCAGCAGCACAGGAGGCCACGTTCCAAAACCTGAATAAATCCAGCTTTCCAACTCTTAGCACCACAGAAAAAGATGCCACACAGTGTAAAGACCTGATAGCTAACTTCATCTTGGCAGGACTTCTGCTAGGTCAGGTATCTTCTGTCTGGACTGCTTTGACTTTTTGCTGGATCAGGTATTGTCAGTCCTGGATCAGGTAACAGCCTGCTCTCCAGCAGCTGGAATGAACTCCAGGGTATGTGGTCTGTCTGGCTAATTCGACACAAATGTGAACACACACTTGACCCACATCCAAACAGTATCAATGAATGATCCAGAAATGCACAAATATTACACTCAGGACCATCCCTCTCTCCTACTTTGACCTAGACTGTCATCTTGACGTGAAACAGGAGCAAAGTGAGTATAAAAGGGCAGAAATTGGAGGGGGGAAAAAAAAAAAGAAACCCATAGAGCTAGTTTTCTCTGATGAAAAAGGTGTGAAATGGATATGGTCACAACACTCAGCTAAGAAGCACATGTTAAATCTGCTTATGCCCCCAGTTATGAGCTCCCTCCCAGAGAGTGACACACCAGCAGCCTGAGCTGGCAGACTGTGTCTAAAATCACACTTTTTTTTTGCCACCCACCTTTTCTCTTCTTGCAGACATAGCAGTGACACAAGTGCCTGGCTGCTCTGCAAAACCTGGGCACTGAGGGAGAAAATGTCCAAGACAGTGACTTAGCTTGGAAAGGACCTGACACAGAAGGCAGCCCCCACCTGTACCAGGGTTTTGGCATCATCTGCTCTTTTCACAACCTGCCCACTGCACCTGCAGCCAAAGCCTTGGCTCACAAGCCCTGTAGAGAAACCTGCAGCCACTCAGCTGAAGTGCTAAGCTGCTGCTGGTAAAGAACAGTGTCCTGCAAGAGCACTTGGCACTGAAATGCAGACAAACACCCCTGGCCTCAATGGCTCCTGTCAAGGAGCAATTTACTTGAGAGGGAGAGGATTTCTCTTTGCTAATGATCCCTGTGCACAGTGCTGGCAGAGCCTTGTCTTCACAAAACAGCTGCCAGCCAGCACTGCAGGACCAGCCACACATCACCAGAGGCCCGTGCCCAGAACTACACTGGGTGCCTTCTCCACCCTCACCCTCCTCACCATCTCCATGCCAGGACAGACAGGCATCCTCTTTTCAGGATGAATTTTGGAAGATGGACTGTTTCTTATAAGCTGGATGCCAGACTCAAGTCAAAGTGAGGAACAAGAACAAGATGCTCTTCTCTCCCACTCCTGACACCTCACCACCCCAACATCTCTTATTTAGTAACTCATCAGCTCCACCACCCACAGTCATAAGACAGCAAAGGAGTGGTGGCTAAATTTCCAGCAACCCTTACAAAAATACAACTAAAGCAGAGTTGAAGAGCAAACTACCCTAGTATAATTACTTTTAAAAAATATTTTTAGAAACAGCAAAAAATCACCTCCTCACGAGCTGCATAACCAGGGAAAGAGTGAGCAGATAGGAAAGGGTTAGGAAGGTAATTTTTCACTTTGTTAGTTACAGTAAACATCTCCAAATAAATGTGATCTTATGAATTTCATCAGCCAAACCTCCCTTCTCCACTTTGAAAGGTTACATGAAGTGATGAAACGTTAGTTAATTTATGTGTTAGAGGACTGGCTAAAAAATAGCAGAAACCTGTAATCTTTTCATAATTATAAGTCAACACTTAACTGATATGAGAAGCCTCTATTCATAGCCACTAAAAGGAGCATTCATTCCTCTTTACATCACCCCTTTCCATTATGTCCTAATGCAATTTTCAACAGCAGGTGAAACCACTAAAAATTGGAAACAGTGTGAGAAATTTTCCTCTATCTGGTTTTAATTAAAACCCTCAGCAAAACAGAGAAGTGATAAAAGAGAGGCAACCCTTTCCACCTCAGCTGCTGCCTGTGCACCCATCCTTGGAGAGCCCTTGGAAACCTCACGTGCAATGTCACTGGTTCAGATTAGGATCATGACAAAAGCAATAAAAGACAATTCACATCTGATTATGAACTATGTGGCAGTTGTTTGGTGTCCTTTTAGGTGTCAGGGGACCCACCTGAGAAGTGGACACTGGAGGGAAACCTGATTTTGGGAAACCTGGATGGGACCTGAGCTCCCCACAGGCTCCCATCTCACAGAGACACCTGGGCACTGGGTGGGAGCTGGAGTGTCCCACCCCACTGCCAGCCCCTGCTTCAGACACAGCTTTTGGGGGCAAAGTGCCCAGACTGAGGCTGGACCAGGCACACAGGTACCCAGGCCATGCAGCTTCAGTGTCCCCACGAGCCAGGGTGGTCAGACTGAACTGCAGCTCAAGCTGCTGCTGGTTTCCTTTGCCAGACACACCCCGGGCCCTGGAGGGCCTCTCTGCACAGCTCCCAGCACTGGAGGAGGCTGTGGCTCCCCAGGTGTGGGACTTGGCTTTTCCCTGTGTTGAATTTTATCAGGTTCCTATTCCTGCATTTCTGCAGCCTGTCAGGGTCCTGCTGAGCAGCACCACATCCATCCAGTCCATCGAGCATTCCTCCATGGTGGTACAATCACAGGCTGGCTAGAGGAGTGCTCTGTCCCAGCACCCTGGTCATTAATGAAGATGTCAAACACTACTGACTTCACCACTGGCTCCAACTCAACCTCACCCTGCTGTCACACCTGAACTTAGACAGTTTTCAGTCCACCTCACAGTCTGTACTTCACCAGTTTGTCCAGAGGCATGTTATGGGTGACAGCACCAAAAGCTTCACTAACGCTGAGGTCACTGCTCCCCCCTAACTCCCCAAGCTTCTCCTCACAGAAGGCCAACCCAGCACCCCTGCTCCACGTTCTCCCTGGTCTTCCTTTCTCTCTCATATCTGCAGAAGCACTTCTTGACTTCCCTAATTTTCACCAGGGCCAGCTCCAGACGAGCCCTGTGTCTCCTGATATTCCCCCCAGGTCACCTGTCCCTGCTTTCACCCCTTACATATTACACAAATCCTTTCCGTTTCTTTCTTCAGAACCCCCTGCTCATCAATGCAGGCCTCTTGCCACTTCCTGCATGTCAGCATGGACCATTCCTGAACCTGGAGACTGCAAGCCTTGAAAAATCAACCAGTTTTCCTGACTCCACTTCTCCCTACCTGCTTTAGAACTCCTGTAAGTCAGCAAAATACAGAATTTATATATTAAATACTCGAAGTTAGTTCAGATCACAGAAATGCTCTCCCCTGGTGTAGTACTGGCCAAGTCTGGACTTCAGCTTCCAAGTAAATCTTACCCTGTCTAAATTCACAGCAAAATGATATGGCTAAGTAAAGAGCTACCTGTGAATATTCACACATTAAATGACTACATAAAGATTTAACTCCCCACTGGATTCTCTTTGGACTTAAAAATAAGCATAAACGCATTTCTGAGTCTGACCTTTGATCAAAACATTCGAGATCAGTGTGTAAATCACTCAGTTGGGATTTTTCCTTCTCATGTGTTAAATCACTGCAGCACAACCGAATGCAAACATTCTGTTAATTGCACAAAAGCCCTTTTGGAATCTCTCCTTCCACTGTATTCACGAAGAAACAGGTTTCTCAATGCTCCCCTGAAAAAAAAAACAACAAAGCAACTATAACACAACCCACAAAACTTATCTTTTTAAAACTAGCTAAAAGAATTAGTTTAGTTGTTGGGGGTTTTAAAATTCATTTATGCTTAAAAAAAAAAAATACTAGAGCCTTTGTCTCCAGATGAATGTAACCTCTTCTGTAATAATATCCATGAAAATAAGGGCAGCTTTTACTCAATCAATGACAAAACTCTTTACTGTGCTTTCTCTGTAAGGTTAAGAGTGAAATACAGAGTTGGTACTGAGCTGGTGCCTGCACATCCCTTGCTTCTCCCACTGGTGCCTTTGACAGATGAAGGATTTTATAATTTCTCCAGAGAAGCTAATTGTCCCCCTTAGAGAAGGAATCATTGTTGATCCTCAATTAGAACAGAGTGTGCTTCACTTCAGTACCAGTCACAAAACCTCTTCTCTGGTTGTCTTCCACCACAGCAAGAGAGATGTTTCTTCAAGCAAAGCAGAAAAAAAAAACAACCAAACCCTAAGAGATCACTCAAAATGTTGTTCCCCATTGGTTTTCAGCTGGTGGAGCCACAGCTTTTATCCTGCAGTGGAGTCAGTGAGTCAGGCTGGCAGGAATGGCTGTGCAAGGAGGAACATGCATCCCTTTCCCTGTCCTTCCCTGAGCCAGCAGCACAAAGCTGTGTGCTAGGGAGGAGCTGAGCACCCTGCCCTGGCACTGCCCTGTCCTCTGCAGGGCCAGGCTGCAATCCCAGCCAGCACACAGCCCCTCACCTGCTGGGGAAGGCACAGCTCAGCACCTCCAGCTCACACCTGGCTGTGCCTCAGGCTCCAAACTCCTCTTCCCCTGCACGACACTTTCAACTATTTCTTCCTGACCTGATCATGGAGCTCTTCCAGAGAAGAACATCTGAACTATTTTATTCCTGTTTAGGACTAGACATGCAGACTGTCACCTGTTCTGATCTCTGTACTCCAGTCTGCACAGAACATCCTTATCTCACTGCTTCCCTCCCCTGGTCCTTCCAAGCTTGTGCCCTGCCCTGGGCTGCAGCATGAGCACAAACATGCAACCGTTTGTTCCCCAATGGTCACACTTGACTTTGAGCCAGTCTTTCTTAATTTAGACCCCCGGACAACACTTACTTTGTTGACCTAAGTCAATTGCTTGGTGAGAAACTGCAAGCTGCATGGTCCAAAGAATCCAAACAGCAATTGATTTGCAGGCTTACTGGACACTTTTTCTGGCTGGTAGCTATTTTTGTTGGGAACGGCAAGAAACAATGCGTGCAGAAGTGAGCCTGCACCAGCAGCACATCCAGCTTGCAGATCTTCCTTCAAAACAGGAATTCATGGCCACTCTTTAGGGAGATTTTTTACATGGCGTTGTCACTTGGATGTGCAGCTCTTGTCTCCACTCTCATTCATCTCACTGCATTTTGGTTGCACTCCCAGTCAAATTTACAACATGTACAAGCAAAACAGAAGTCATGACCTAACATTCCTTCACAGTGCCCCTCTAATTTGGTTCCTGGTCAAAATGAAAATGGCTCAAATTAAAAACAAAGTGAGTTTATACCACTTTCAGCTCAGCCCTGGTGCTGGCAGTTCTGGATCAACAGACATTGCTTTGAAATGGCAAAACCCCAGAAAACACTTAGGGGGATGCAAATACACATGCATAAGCTTCATAATAAAAGTGAAATAATGTATTTCTCAGAAACTTAAGCAAATATTACCATGTATCTGCCAGAACTCAGCAGTCTCCCTCGTTTCTTTGTGTTTTTTTTAATCGAAGTTCTCTCTTGCCTTTTCCACGTTGTATGGGAGCATTAAGTCAGAATCTCCCCAAATATACACACTTGTGAACACCTGGAGCAGGGCTAGAAACTCCCCATGCAGATATTGACCCAGCTGGGAACAGAAGAGCTCTAAGTCAGTGTTCATTATTCACGGGGTACTTTGCCAGAAAAACAAAGTCGCCCTCCCCAATCTTGAAATGCACTTTTTCTCTGACCTCACAATAACCTAACACCAGGTTTCCCATTTCTGCCAGTCCAACCAAGCAAAACACCCAGTAATTTCAAAGGAAGTTCTGCCACAACAGAGTCCAAGATTTGTCCTTCAGCTCAGGGGCGTGGGTGTTTTGTTTTGTGGGTTCGTTTTTTCTCCTTTCATGAGCTACAGAAATGAATCAGAGCAAGTAAGAGGTGTCCAGCCAGAGCCAGGCACCACATGGGTTTGAGCTGCTCCCTGCTCCTGACACCCCCATGGGGAAGTCAGACACAGCCCCTAGAGGAGGGAAGCAGGGAAAAGAGGGAAAAGCAGAGCTTCACACACTTGGCACAGCAGGAAGCTGATTTGCAAGTCTGCGCTTGGCACAACTTCAGAGTGTATTCTTTGGGGTTTTGTGATCTGTGGATCTCCTCCTTCTGGGCTGGTTCTTCACTGGCCTGGATTCCTCCCAGGTGGGAAAGAGGGGCTGAGAAAGCCTTTTCCCAAAGGAGTCACCAGTTTGCTCTTACACAGCGTGCAAGGCTGCTTCAGCCCAACCCAAGCTGTCCTTTCTCTTTTTGTATCTTCTTAATAAGTCAGGGAGTTTGTCTGGGTCATTCTATCCCATGTGGAAATGCCCCACTGCTCTCAGGCAATGTGGGATTTGGTGAGTGGATTGCCACATCTCCACTCTGCCAGAAACTCCTGCAAGGGGCAAACCCCCTCCATGCTGCCCTCAAAGCCCAAAGCTGCAGTGCATTTGAGTCCTTCCCTCTCTCTGAACGGGGCAGTGACCAACTGCAGGTGCTGCTGCTGTGGCTGCACCACTCTCCACGAACAGGCAACACCTCCTGCACTGCCCCTCTCACCACCCTCACACAGGAATGTCTCCCTAAAAACCAACACACTGGGAAATTCTCTTTCCAGGCAAAGCAAAACTAGCTTTTTTTCTAAATTGTTTGTGAAACAGCATCTGAGTCTAGCACCTGGTGATTGCCAAGATTTCATAAAAAGACATTAAGTAGGAATAGGCAGGAACTATTATTTTGCTGCAAAACAAACAAACAAAAAAATGCAACCAAAGGAAGAAAATGAGAAGAGTCCTCAGAGCCCCAGCACCTTACTGAACACAGGCAGCACCAGGGTGATCTCTAGAACCATGTGCATCCCCCCATCTTGTGCTGTACATCCTCTCCAGGCTCTGCTCTGGGTTCCTTTAAGGACCCCTGCTCTGGGCAGAAGGGAACAAGGAGAAGAAAAGCAGAGGATGCACAGCTCACATCTGGACATGGCCTGCATCCCACCACACCCATCTTCCACCCCATCCTGAGAGCAGTGCAATCTGGAACTCTGTGCCCAGAAGTGACTCTATAGGAGCTGGAGGAGCTCACAGGACACAGAGCATCACAGCTCTGTCCCACACCACTGACTCCACTTGCTCACGGTCACCATCACCAATTCCCTGCAAATTGTCACACAAGCATTTATCAGTCAAAACACCAGGTTCCCAGGCAAACAGCACATGGCTTTTACAGCCCCAGCACAAAGCTGTGACCATTCCATGGTGGGCATGGCCTGGGTGGTGCAGGGGCTGCTGGACAGGCCAAGGAAAAGCACTGGTGTGAATTTACTCATTCCCTCATCTCTGTGGTGTCATAAAAACAACTCCGGATGACTCCCAGCTGTCAGAAACAAGCCAATAGTGCCCCCATGACCTAAACACGACTGCCATTCATGAGGCAGCAGTGGGTTTGTCACATGTGCTCCATCTTCTAAATACCCTGCACGAATTTTATTTTGAGATGTCTTGAAGGTTCCTCCCCCATAACTGAGTCACAAAGGTTTGCACCCAAGGCATGGGAGTTTCTGTTGGATCCCTGAAGCCTGGGAGTTTTGAGCTTTCTGTGCTTTGACACTGACCCCCCCATGAGAACACTGCTTGTGACCTGGGGCCTTGGAGAAGGCTCCAAATTTGGGTGATGGAGTTAAAGTCATGGGTGTGTAGTTAAATAGAAGTGTGTGCTTTCACATGGTGAAGGGTTTTAAATTTGGGTTTTAGAATATAGTAACAGGTAGAGGACAAGGTAGAGAATTTTGGGTGTTGTGTCCTTTCTGTCTTCATGATTTCAAGCAGTAGTTTTTGGTTGGACAGTCAGTGCTGTACTGCAGGTAACAGGGGTTTGGTTACTGGGTCAAAGTTA